GATTTTAAAGTCCTAATATTTTTTACCCTAAAGTGTTACTAAACCCACAACAGTAAAATCAGTCTGTGTATGCAGTAAAGCGTGCTTGTTATACTCACTGTGGAACCTAAGGGGTTAATCCTCTGTATTGTGTAAAAAGGATGTTTAGTCCTGTCTTCTCTGATCCTCCCCTTCCTCCACTGTCACAGACTCATCTCCTGACAGAACAGAGCTTTGGGGGCAAGCTGCACATTCTCAGTTTGGTGTATATCACTAGAGAGTTTTTTTTCTGCTTGGCAGAGTGCATGTGATCATCAGTCTCATAGGGGAGTGAGAGGAAAATGAAAACTCCTCCTACAAGCTTTAACCAATGCGCTGCTGGACACTGATAGAAATAAATTTCATTTGGGTGCAGTGTTGCATGACCGCGCCATTGTGAGTTAAAATAATACCGCGCCATATCGCAAAAAATGGCCTGGTAAATCTCCATTTGTGGGGAAAAAGGACATAAATTTCATTTGGGTGCAGCGTTGCATGACCGCACAATTGTCAGTTAAAGTAATACAGTGCCGTATCGCAAAAAATGGCCTGGTCAGGAAGGGGGAGTAAATCCTCTGTAGGGAAAGTGGTTAAGACAACCACATCATCTTTTTCCAGAACAGCCTGTATTTCTCCTGAGGTTACCTATGGGTTTCCCTTTATATCCTGAACAATTCTTCTGGCAGTTGTGGCTGCAATCTTTCTTGGTTTACCTGACCTTGGCTTGGTATCAAGAGATCCCTAATTTTCTTTCATAGGTTGGTACGGAGAGAGAGCTGGAGGAAGAATCTGCAGAAGACTGACATTGCTACCACAATACATGGATCACAGCTACAATACTTTTCATGCTCACGTGCAAAAATAAAAATTAATGCACTTTTTTTTTCCATCAAATTTGGGTGCATTATTTATTTAACTGATATTTAAAGTGTTACTAAACCCACAATAGTAAAATCAGTCTGTAGATGCAGTAAAGCATGCTTGTTATACTCACTGTGGAACCTAAGGGGTTAATCCTCTGCATTGTAGGAAAAGGCTGTTTGATCCCGTCTTCTCTGCCCCTCCTTTTGTTCAAATGCCCACCTGATAAGACAGACTGAACCCGGTGGCACATGCTCAGTTTAGTGTGTATTGCTAAGGAGGTTTTTTTTTTTTAATGGGAGAGTGCATGTGATCAGCACTATTCCAATCAGCACTGTCCAGACAGAGGGTCAAGGGGTTCTGCATCCTCCTAGAGCAGAAAGAAAACTCCTCCTACAAGCTTTAACCAGTGCTCTGCTGAAGTCAGAAGACTGCTATATACTGCTGATGAGAAAAAGTATTTAGCAGTTTATATTTACTAAAATAATTGCACTTTCATGCTGTGTGTACTGTGGGAGGCCAGATATAGAGAATGCTGGGTCTGGGGTTTAGTAACACCTTAATGCATTTCCTGCATTCAGGTAAAAACACCCCACTACCTGTTCTAGGTGGGATGACCGCTGTGAGAAAAGCCTTAGCCTAGGACTCCAGGTGTGTATGTGTTTTGGGGGTTAATGCCAGAGGTTGCTGTAAGGACTGGGACTGGTCATGTAGAGATTGAGATTAGCTAGCTATCCCCTCTATGCAGTGGTGTATTTAGGTTTTGTGCTGTCCTATGCAACACAAAAATCGGATGCCCACGCCACCCACAGAGAGAGCCTGACACCAACCAATAATACCCCCCCACAGAGAAAGAGCCTGACATTGACCAACAACACCCCAGCCCCCCCTCCCCTTCTGAGAGAGACTTCCGATATCATATTCCCCAGCAAGAAATAGACCTTCACAGCTCCAAACATCCCCAGGAATGAGAGCTCAGCTCTGCAAACACCATCAAGCAGCCTCTCTAGGATCCCACCTGGTCCCCATGCCACATGTGTCCATTCTTCTGCCCCTTCTTCCAGGGGTCGGTGCTGCCCCCTGAAAAATGCCACCCTAGGCAAATGCCTTGTTTGCCTTGTGATAAATACGCCCCTTCCTCTACCTCCAGCAAGGGGCTGCTGCTGAAAAATTTGTGCTTAGGAATTTGAATCTATCTCCTGCACTTGATTTGATGTTTTGGAGTATCCTGTACCCTCATGTAGGCAGGTGCAGTTAGCTAGTTTGTTGCTCTGTGCCAGAATAGTATCTGGTTACAGCAGACAGTGTCATCAAGTGCTAGGCCCCTTCTAGTTGGAGCTGTCCTCCAGTGAAGTCATGGGTGAGGCAGTATCCAAACATGAGCAAGGTTGGGAGGAGCCCTAGGGCACTTGGGACATGGGAGCCAAACATTCCATACCAGCACAGATGTGATCAGCATGTAGAGGCCCTGGACAGGGGCTGGAGGTGTGTAGACCTGCACCCAGGAGACTTCCTGACATGTATGGAAGTGGGGGGCTAGGGCTGGTTGCAGAAGACTTTGTAGGCTAGACCAAGAGTTCCCTGAATGAGGCTATTTCCTTGGAGGGCCCTGGGAGAGGTATATGTTTGATGGAGGTGACTACAGAGAACCCAGTCCTGTGAGTACTATTGACCCCGGAGTGAAAGAAGAGACTGTATAGGGAGATTTCTGCTAAAGTGCTGAATATGCTTTCACGTGTGACTGCTGTGGATCATCCACAAAATATGATTGACTATTTAAAGCGGAGTTCCACCTGAAAAAAAAAAAAAAAAAAAATGAAAGTCAGCAGGCACAAAAACTGTAGCTGCTGACTTTTAAAATACAGACACTTACCTATCCCTTGGTCCAGTGGTGTCCTCACCACCACTGATTTCACCGGCCGTCTTCTCTCCCTGGAGCCAGCATGTTTAGTGTGGTCACTCGACTTTGACAGCTTGTGTCTTCACATCCGGGTGCCCACTGCACATGCGCGAGAATTGCTGCGCTTTGTGAATGGCCCTGTAGTCTTCTGGGACCTGTCACGTGTCCCAGAAGACTACAGGGAGGGAGGGTAGGAGGACAACTTCCGCTTCCAATTGCCTAGGCGATCGCAGCGGAAGTGGGAGCGGGTACCTGTCAAATTCGGATACCCTTTCCCGCCCCACTCCCCAAAGGTACCGATCCTTAATGCAGAGCGGGGGAACAAAGGCTTAAAGTGGAACTTCCCCCTTTTGGGTGGAGCTCTGCTTTAATGCCAAGTGACTCTGAAATGTGTGTTGAAGTAATGTGACTGGTATGCCATTCCCTGAGTTCTATCAGTAAAGTGCAGCGATTCTACTTATGTGTGCATCACTTCCGTGGGATATAAAGGTCAACGACTGGAATGTCATATGGAGGCCAACAGCATGGAGTGGGGCACAATATGGTGGAGGGTTTTGCCCACAGCACGGGGGGGGGGGCAGCGTTGTAGCAGGATAGGAGCGCTCTCGGCATCACTATTAGCCAATCACAAAGCCCCTTTTACACTCATCTTACCTAGACTGAGCTGGTGTTTGTAAAAAGGGAAGTGGAAGACCACACACCTATTGCACAGAGAACCCTGAAGTTTATTGATGCAATCCAGGTATAAAATCACCAAAACCCCACAAAGACAGAAGCAATGCTGACATGTTATGATTAAGTGCTTCTAGCATGAAACGCGTCACCTTTGTTTCTGTCTTTGTGGGGTTTTGGTGATTTTTTACCTGGATTGCATCAATAAACTTCAGGATTCTCTATGCATTGTGTGCAGTCATCCACTTTCCTTTTTCTGTGCAAACCACACCAGCACCTCTGCAAGCATAGGAGAACAAAGGGGGGATTAATGAGGTGCACTGACCTGGAACGGTATGTACACCTTCCGATATTGAATTGTGAGCCTGTGTTTGTCGATGTGCCTGGGCCTGGCAGCCTCTGAACAAGTGAAGGAAACCAGGATCGTTCTACGCGGCCCCTTCATTGTGAGCGCTACACCACTATATCACTACTGTGTCCCTGCACCTCAGTAATGAAGGGTTTGTGTAGCTCTTGGCTAATTTAATACAAAATATCCTAAAGTACACCTCTAATACCAGCTACATACTTTCAATAGCCAACTGAAGACTTGCTTCCTCCCTGCAGATTGCTTTTCAGAGGTGCAGCAATGATAAACACATTTATTTCAGGTACTTATATAGCGCCATCAAGTTACTCAGCACTTTACATATATATTGAACATTCACATCAGTCCCTAACCCTCAAGGGGCGTACAGTCTAAGGTCCCTAACTTACATTCATATATACACATACTAGGGACAATTTAGACAGGAGCCAATTAACCTACCAGCATGGTTTTGGAGTGTGGGAGGAAACCAGAGTACACGGAGGAAACCCACACAGGCACAGGGAGAATATGCAAACTCCAAGCAGGTAGTGCCATAGTTGGAATTTGAACCAATGACCCTAGTACTGCCAGCTGAGAAGTGCTAACCATTTAGCCACTGTGCCACATGTCTAATTTGCTAAGAGAGAGAAAACTGGACTCAACAGAGGCTATAATGGTAAATAATTAAAAAATTTGTTTTACAATGCTTTGTCTACAGTAAATTTTTTTAATATGAATAATAGTGTCCCTTTCACTGTTAGGGGTAGTTTAAAGTGGTTGTAAAGGCTGAAGGTTATTTACCTTCATGCATTCGATACATGAAGGTAAAAAACTTTCAGTGTGCAGCTCCCCCCACCCCCCATATTTACCTGAGCCCCCTCTTGAACCAGCGAGCACGGAGCCTCAGATAAGACATATTGTGTGGAGTCACTATGCACATGCTCAGTTTGGTATGTATTGCTAGAGAGGTTTTTTTTTTTTCTTGGGAGAGTGCATGTGATCAACACAGGGCCAATCAGCACTGTCCAGACAGAGGTCAGGGGTTCTGCATCCTCCTACAGCAGAAAGAAAACTCCTCCTACAAGCTTTAGCCAATGCTCGGCTGGACATTGATGGAAGTCACAAGACTGCTATGTACTGCTGATGAGAAAAGATATTTAGCAGTTTATATTTACTAAAATAATTGCATTTCCATGTTGTGTGTCCTGTGGGAGACCAGATATAGTGATTGCAGGGTCCGGGGAGAGCGGATTTAGTGAATGCAGGGTCCGGGGAGACCAGATATAGTGAATGCAGGGTCCGGGGGGACCAGATATAGTGAATGCAGGGTCAGGGGAGAGCGGATATAGTGAATGCAGGGTCCGGGGAGAGCAGATATAGTGAATGCAGGGTTTTGGGGAGAGCGGATATAGTGAATGCAGGGTTCTGGGGAGAGCGGATATAGTGAATGCAGGGTCTGGGGGGAGACCGAAGTGGATATAGTGAATGCAGGGTCCCGGGGAGAGTGGATATAGTGAATGCAGGGTCCGGGGAGACCGTATATAGTGAATGCAGGGTCCGGGGGGACCAGATATAGTGAATGCAGGGTCCGGGGAGACCGGATATAGTGAATGCAGGGTCCGGGGGGACCAGATATAGTGAATGCGGGGTCCGGGGGGACCAGATATAGTGAATGCAGGGTCCGGAGTTTAGTAACACTTTAAGTGTAGAGCGTTGTTAAGACTTGCAGTTGGGGGGGCTGGAGGGGTGCAAAAATGCACAGTTGAGACACATTTTTCAACCCACCAGCCGCCCCCTAAGCTGCAATAGGCAGTGGACGGGGCTGTTTGCATGCCACGGCCGCAAAGTTCACCTGACATGTAGCGATCGGTGGGCAGCAAGCCCACTGAAAGCTACACAGTCAAGCAAATGGGGAAACACCACAAATGCCCTCCATTGCAATGAATGCAGTTGAGGAGCATTTGTTGGCAAAAATGGGGTTAAAACAGGTGGTGAGGAGGCATCACATCGCAGCCTCACTGGCTGTCAGTAGCCTCTGAAGCCCGACCCAAATGTGGATCAGGCTTCCCCGCGACCACACGGTGATCGCCGAGTATCGCTGACAGAGGAGAGACCTGTGTGTAAACAACATAAGTCTCTCTCCTGCACAGCAGCATGTTTTCCTAGTAAAACACACACTACACATCTTGTAAAACAGCACACAGTTAACCCTTTGATCGCCCCGGATGTTAACCCCTTCCTGCCCAGTGCCATTAGTACAGGGTCAGTGCTTTTTATGAGCACTGATCACTCTATTAGTATCATTGGGATGTCAGTGGCAGTTAGTTCCCCCCAGTCTCAGAATGTCTGCCGCAGTCCCGCTGTAAGTCGCTAATCGCCGCCATTACTAGTATTAAAAAAAAAATAAAATTCCAGTATATATACCGCCATTTGTAAACGCTATAACTTTCATGTAAACCAATTAATTTGCTCGTATTGGAATTTTTTTTTTAGCAAAGACATGCGCAGAATACCTTTTGACTTAAATTTGTGACGAAATGTGATTTTTTACATTTTTTACTAGATATGTTTTATAGCAAAAAGTAAAAAAATATTGCTTTTTTTTCAAAATTTTTTAAAAAAGCACATACATTTTCATTTATGTACAGCGTTGCATGACCGCACAATTGTCAGTTAAAGTAACATAGCACTGTATCACAAAAAATGTCCTGGTCAGGAAGGGGGGGGGGGGGGTAAATCCTCTGGAGGGCAAATGGTTAAGAGGCAGGCCAATGCTTACTGTATGTACAATTCTGTGTTAACTTCTTTTCAGCACCTAAAGCCCATCACCAAAACTATCAGGAATTGGCTCCCAGTACCAGCAGTGTTCTGGCATTTCCAGGAGGAAGCCATCAATGGCAGCTCTCACTCTCCCCCTTATTACAGGTTTGTTTTAGAAGGTTATCCTTCCTTTATGTTTCCAAGTCCAAGCTCTCAGAACAAGTTCAAAAGTTGATCTTAGCGATCTGGGGAAAGTGCTGTTTCATTCTACTCTCCCACTATCAGCATGCATCCTTTAATCTCCCTACATGACATATGGCATCAATTCATCCGCTGCTGCTGTATGCAATATACATCGTATGCATTATATTTTATGAATGTTGCCTAACAGTTCTGTCACTAAAACATATGTCCAGTGCATCTGGAGCAACCACAAACTGTTCACATCCAATGGTTCATGACATGTATTTTCAATGAGTGGTTGTTTTCAGATCATTACTGCTGAGTTTACCCAATCACCAAGGTCTCATGATAACAGGATATTGCCATTTAAAAAAGTTTTTAATCATGTTTTATACCTCCAGCTTTTATTAAGCACTTGCCCTCTGGAAGATTTACCCCCCTTCCTGACCAGGCCATTTTTTGCGATACGGTGCTGTGTTACTTTAATGGACAATTGCGCGGTAATGCAACACTGTACTCAAATGAAATTTATGTCCTTTTTTCACACAAATGGAGCTTGCATTTGGTAGTGTTTGATCACCTCTGAGGATTTTACTTAACCTCCTTGGCGGTATGATTCTTTCCAATTTTTTGTGCTGAAAGCGGTACCATTTTTTTGCATGGAAATATGTAGTTTTTTATTGTAGGCTGTAATTTTTAGGAATAACTCACTGAAATCTGTCCGAACAAGAGTCTGTTAAACATTTCGGATATGATAAAATTTGAAACACGAAATCATAAATTATAATTTAATAAGTAATCATAAAAAAAATAATAATATAATAATAATAAATTTAATTCAATAATATATAATCAAACCAAAAACACTGAAATTTGAATTACAGAGGCAAATTCGCACATCGCTGAGCAAAGTCGCAAAATCGTTTTCAGTGTCTGATGATGAATTTCCCCACAAATCATTATCATCACTCAATTCTGCAAGTGGTTCTGATTTACTATCGCTGTTCTAAAACCGCTTTTGACGTAAAGGGACGCTTTTTGGACGCCATGGACTTTTCTAAGTTTCCAGGCAGAAAGAACATTTAAAATGCAGGCAGGGCACAGGACTAAGCAGTAGGGACAAAATATATGTGAAATGCATTGAAATAGCAATGACAGCAACAATGACATTTTTAAAAAAATTCAAATTCCGGCGCCCGTACGTAACGACATCACAGGGACCGGAACACAGAAGCCGGATGCCGGCATCGGCCGGAGGAGATGGCCGGGGACGCTGCAGGGGACACATCGTGGGAGCGAAGGACAAGGTAAGTGCTGCAGGGACCCCCAGAGCAGCGCCGCATGGTAAGCCCGAGTGTAGCTCGGGGTTACCGCTCTTGGTATAGAAATTTTACCCCGAGCTACACTTGGGAATACCGCTAAGGAGGTTAAACAAAAAAAAGACCGACAATTAAAAAAAAAAATAACTCAATATTTTTTTATTTTCTGCTATAAAACATATCCAATAAATTTTTTTTAAAAATCAAATGTCTTCAGAAATTTAGGCCAAAATGTATTCTGCTACATATTTTTTGTAAAAAAAATCCCAATAAGCGTAAATTGATTAGTTTGCAGAAAACTTACAGCGTCTACAAACAATGGGACATATACTGGAATTTTTAAAATGTATTTATTTATTTTTTACTAGTAATAGCGGCGATCAACGACTTATAGTGGGACTGTGATATTGCAGCAGACATTTTTACACTAACTGACACTGACACTTTGTGGGAATCAGTGACACTAATACAGTGATCATGCTAAAAATATACACTGATATTGTACTAATGACACTAGTTGGGAAGGGGTTAACATCTAGGGTGATCAAAAGGTTAAAGCGGAGTTCCACCCAAAAGGGGAAGTTCCGCTTTAATGCTTTGTCCCCCGCTTCCCATTTAGGATTGGCACCTTTGGGGTGCCCAAATTTGACAGGTACCCACTCCCACTTCCGCTGCGATTGCTTAGGCGATTGGAGCGGAAGTTGTCCTCCCCTCCTTCCTCCCAATAATCTTGTGGGACATGTGACAGGTCTCAGAAGACTACAGGGCCATTCACAAAGTGCAGCGCTTCTCATGCATGTGCAGTTGGCATCCAACTGTGAAGCCGCAAGCTGTCACAGCCAGGTGCCCACACTAAAGATGCCGGCACCAGGGAGAGAAGACGGCCGGTGAAACCAGTGGTGGTGAGGACACCACTGGACCGAGGGACAGGTAAGTGGCTGTATTTTAAAAGTCAGCAGCTATAATTTTTGTAGCTGCTGACTTTTATTTTTTTTTTTTTTTTCAGCTGGAACTCTGCTTTAAGTGTGTGTCTAGTTATTTGCTTGGTGTACACTAGATGGTGCTGGTACAAGAGTAAGTGATGGATCCTGTTCCAAGCTCTGCAGGGCCACATGATGGATCACTTTTTCTTCTGTCACAACACAGCTGTGAATATAATGTAAATATAAGCACAGCTGTGTTCTTTCTCCCTGCCCGATGATCTGCAGTTGCCGGTGCACATCCATTCGCTGGGATTTGCAGGTCACCTTCTGCTGTGATAGTTCACAGCAGAAGAATAATTTATTCTGGTCATTGAAATGGTTTAATGCTCAAGTGCTAAACTCATCTAGAGTTATCACGTATTTAAGCACGATTAGGCTCATTTACATGCACCCTCAGCGGCACGTCCCCATCAGCGCACACTCGGTGCTGTCTGTGATCACTGTGTCCTTTGGTCACAGCTGATCACATGACATGGTAAAAGGCCAATCACAGCGTCCTTTTGTCCCATGATCAGCTGTGTCCAATCACAGCTGACCACTATGTAAATACACTTTCCACTTGTTGGCAGTAGTTTCCTCATGCTGTCACAGCATGAGGAATGTACTGCCAGTAACCGGTAACTGTCATAGCAGACATCTGAACTGATAATCAGGGCACTGATCAGTGCCCTGATTATCAGTGCAGCCACAAAAGCATCCAACAGTGCTGCCCATCAGTGCCCATCAGTACCCATCAGTGCTGTCCTTCACTGCCCATCAGTGCTGCCCATCAGTGCCCAACAGTGCTGCCTATCAGTGTCCAACAGTGCTGCCCAACATTAATGCCAATCTGTGCCGTCAGTGCCACCAGTCAGTGCCCTTCAGTGCTACCTATTAGCGCCCTTCAGTGCCACCTATCAGTGCTCATCATTGCCACCTATCAGTGTCCATCAGTGCTGACTATCAGTGCCCATCAGTTCTGCCTATCAGTGCTGCCTCATCAGTGCCCATCAGTGCTGACTATCAGTGCCCATCAGTGCTGACTATCAGTTCAGCCTTATCAACGCACATCAGTGAAGGAAAAAAATTACCTGTTTGCGTTTACTAGAAACAAAGAAGACTTTTTTTTTTTTTAATTTTTGCTCTTTTTTCATTTGTTTAGCAACAAGTAAAACATCCAATGGTGATTAAATACCACCAAAGAAAGCTCTATTTGCGTGAAAAAAAAGGTTACAAATGTCATATGGGTGTAGTACTGCATGACCGTGCAATTGTCATTCAAAATGCGACAGCATTGAAAGTTGATAATTGGCCTGGGCAGGAAGGGGGTAAAAGTGCCCAGTTGTCAGTAGTTAGGGGGTGGTCAAATAATGGCTTTGCCAACTGTTTTTATCTCTGTAATATGGAGACCCGGGATCACCTGCCAACCACTCATAGAAGTAAACGGTCTTTATTGGACTTTCAAAACAAAAACAGCTTTCTTCTAGAGATGTGCATGACAGAAACATTCATTTCATATTCATTATATTCGC